CTTTTTGATCTTTGTTAATCTGATGGACAAAAATAGCATTTCATTGTGCTTCCCTCTTGTTACCTCTCATTACACCTTTCACATGGCTGCCTTCCAAAGGGCCATTGGTCTTTCTTTTGGTGTAAACTGTTGGGATCTTTTCACATTTTGTATTTGGGGATTTTTTCTACTCATTTGTGGGTGACTGTCAGAAATTTGTAATTTATGTGGCAAGTCTCTCCCCATATTTAAACACCAAACTCTAAATTCTTTTGAGTGTTTTTTGTTATGAGTCTTTATTTCCCATTTGGTTTGTTTTATGTATTTGCCTTCTCTTCTTTTAGAAATAAAGATTTATGATTTTTATAAAATTCAGTCTTTGAAATCATTCAATTAAAGCATATTTAATAATATGTGAAAATGTAATTTTAGGTGAAATAATTTGAAGAAGGCCCATGACACAAAATTTTTAAAAATTCACTCATATTTTATAGACAAAATAAGAAAATGAGATATAGCCACAGACTATGTTAATATTATGTTATTTATAATGTTTATATTAGATTAATAGTTAATGAGATAAAATGTAAGTTTCAGTTTTTTGTACTTTTTTTGGTATTTTCTAAGATTGAGAAATTGATTTAAGATTTTTAAATTAATTTTTTTAAGCATAGTTTTAGATTTATTAAAAAACTAAACGAATCACTTGCCTAGTGTCACAAGGCCCTGAGTTCAGTCCCCACACCACAAAAAAAGAAAAAAGGAATGGGGAAAACTAAATCCGTAGTATAGAGAGTCTTCATATCCTTGCCTCATTTACTTCACAGTTTCTCCTATAATTAACATCCTATGTTAGTGTCAAATGTTTATCACAACTAGTGAACAATATTGCTACATTATTATTAACTAAGTTCCTTCATTTTTACCTAAAGTCTTTTTTCTGTTCTCCAGGATCCTGTTCGGGATAGCACAGTGCATTTAGTTCTTATGTCTTCTTGGGCTCTTCTGGGCTATAGCATTGTCTCATACTTCCCTTGTTTTTAATGACCTTGACAGTCTTGAGAACTAGTCGGTATCTTGTGGGATGTGGCACTAGTTAGAATTGGTTCTGTGTTATTCTCATAATAATAAACCCACTGAGATTATGGGTTTGGCAAAGGAAGACCACAGAGATAAAGTGCTGCTGCATTATGTCATATTGAGGATATGTCCATATGAACAATGTGATAGATTAATATACTAGGTAATAATAAAATTAATAATGATAGATAATACAATGAGTTAGATTGGATTAAATTATTTATAAATTCTGTGAGTTTGGTTTTGGTAGTATTTTTCCCCAAATAACTAGCTTTTGGGTTTTTTAAAAGTTAGTTTTATCATTTTTCTATTTAATTATCCTTAATTCATGTATTTTCATTTAAAAAATGTATTAGTGTGAGATACCAGCCGTGATTTCATCTGAGCACAGCTTTAGAGGCATCCCATAGACTTTAATAGATGAAATTTTTAAATTATTTTCTAGATATTTTCAATTTTTATGTAGATTTTTTAATCTGAGTTGTCTAAAGAGAATTTTTAAAAAATGTCCAAGTGGTAGGGTTTTGTGATCCATAATTTTATGATTAGTTTCCTCTTCTTCTCTGTAATTAGGCTGTGTGTTATTTGTACTTTTGGGTGAGGTTTTATTGGTGGCCTAGTGTGTGGCAAGTTGTTTTGATGGTTCTGTGAGCACCTGAAAGGACATACGTTCTTTGCTGTCAAGGTATAGAATCTGATACGTACATCAATTAGACCTGTCTTATTAATTATGTAACTCTGGCTCTTTTCTGTGTGTTTATTTAATTTGGTCCATTGATCTGACACAAGTTAGAGAGGGAAATTAAAATTACCTGCTTCTAATGTGTTTCGGTCTCGTATTTCCTCTGGCTTTTGCTCTGACTTCTAGTGCTGTCATTTGATGTTAAAGCTTCAACTGAGGATCATATTCTTTATTATTGTATTCTCCTTTATCTTATTTAAAACCTTTTGTCCTGAAATCAAATTTACCTGCCTAATACTAAGGTCGTATTTCCTTCTTAATTTGAATTTACACTTGTCTAGATGTGTTTGCCTTTCTTTTGTTGCCACAATTCTTATTTCTTATATGTAGCTTTTGTAGCATATAGTTGGAGAGTTTATCTTGTTTCCCCAGTTTTAGAATCTTTCCTTTTTAGTAGTTTATTATGGCCATTCATTGACATGGTTACTATTTTGTTCCTAGTTTTACTATCACATTTTATGTCTTTTTTGCTTCAATTGCTCCTTAAAACAAAATCTTTTAATATATGGTCTCTTTTATTTTGCGTTGTGTTCCTTCTCACAATTTGGAATGTTTGTATTTTATTTTTAGCTCTGAAAGTTATCTTTATGATGCTAATGTAAAAGGAATTTAATCTTTTGTTTCAATAGTAATAGCTGTCTCTTCTAAAGTACACAACTGCAAAATTAGCTTACAAATGCAGTCACAATTTTTATCTGCTTCATGACACTTTTAAAATTATTCTCTGGATTTGCCAGGTTTTTTCCCATTCTTTTACTCTTTCATTGCTTCGATAGCATCTTTAATGTACACTGTGCTGATGCCTCTTCAAAAGAGGTGAACTTTTCTTGGATCAGGATTTTACAGGCAGTGCATATAGAGAAAGTGCCAGAAATAACTTAGGAAGACGGGATTGCTCCCTGGTTCACAGAAAGTTTGTCCCCAGGATTGTGGTAGTGATTTCTTTCAGTCTTTGCTTCTTTCTCAGGCAGTGAAGATCTGTAGCTGTGGGCTTCTCCCAATTCAGAGCCCTGGTGCACACTGCCTCACTAACGCACTTCTTCCTGTGAAGGTGGTTCCCATTAGCCCTGCCCTCCTCATTCTCCACCGTGTCAGCAGGAGCTCCCACCACCAGACTGCAGATGCTCTTCCCATTGTTATCCTGATTACAGCCATGGTTTTTCCCTTCAAGGATGCCAGCTCCTGCCTGGTGCTGCCCGCTTTTCCCCAGATCCGCAGCCACAGGTGTTTTCCAGAGGTGTTTTTGTCTGTCTTGGATCTTCACTGCTTTGGCTGCCCTTGACTGTTTTTGACAGTCTTTCCTTTTATGCTGTATTTCGGGTTACAAATGTGTCCAGTTTTGCTGAAGTGGGAGTTTGTGTTTCTGTTTTTCTATCTCCTTGACTTGAGGTGCTTCAGACATGAAAATGAGTAACTTTATTCTACATCTTAAAACTGTCTAGTGCTGCACATATTTATGTGTTCTGGTATTCTCTCAAACCAAATATTAGCCAGAGCTCCCTGAAAAGGGTAGGCATCAGCTGAAGCTGAGATCTGACAGTCGAAAGGAAAGAATGGGACTTGAGCATAAAACAGGAGGATTTAAAAAGATACCCACAGTAAGGTTGTCCATGCAGTGGGGTGGTGGTGAGGGGGCTGCTTTCCTTCCCCAACTGGATATTGGCTAGGGTGAACCACTGTTAGAGTAGAAGGTCATGCACATATAGGGCAATGCATGGAAAAGTCCTCTCTCCTCGTCTGTCTCAGGGAAGTTGCTCAAAGCCCAGCAGCTCTTTGACCAGAGAGGTGAGGAGGCACATGCCTTAGCTCAGAATGAGCTGCAAGGCTCAGTTCTGCTTTCCCGACACTCAGGGCCCTTTCAAGCACTCATATACCCTGAGTTCCAGCTGGTCTTCCGGTGGCAAATTCTTCCTCCTTGAAAACTAGAATCCTGCACCTGGGGATGCTATCTGGGGTAAATACTGTTAATGATGTTTAAATAACCAAAAAAGTATGGGTGCACTCGAGGAGAGGGTCCATGGGTGATGCCCAGAGAACAGAGAGGAAAATCTGCCTGCAGAGTCCTTTATAGCATTGTCTCTCAGATTCCCATTTCACAGATGAGGAACTGAGAGTCTCGGAGAGGCTTAGAGATAGAGCTAATAGGTGGAGAAGGATTTGGATGCAGTTCTGTCTGGACCCAGAGCTTGGACACCAGTTCCCTTACTTTCCTTTCCAGCCCCATTCATTTTCCTACAGAGACAGCACCCCATCCTGATTGTTTTATGTTTGATGATTGTTTTGTGTTTGTTTCAGTTACTCTTCTCTCCTTGCTGGCACCAAAAGTTAGAGGGGAAGGGTTTATTTGGCTTACAGTTCATAGAGGTTTCAGTCCATAATTGGCTGGCTCCAAGGGAGGAATGACAAACAGGTTTCACAGAGGAGAAACAACATGGCACACACAAGGTAGCAAAGGCAACAAGGAAGAGCTTCCCCTCGTCTTTCTGCCTCTTTTATCCCATCCAGACTACTGGGATTAGGGCGGTGCTAAACCACTCACTCATGTGTAGTGGTTTAGTAATCACACGCCCTTAATCCCAGCATCACACATTCCAGATTCAGCTACCTCTAACTGAATGAAGCTTTGGGGGGACATCCAAACCCAAGCCATAACAATGTTCATTTCCCTGGGTGACCTCATGGGGCCCTTCCCCACTGTCTTGCTTCTCAAGCCTGGCTCCATTTTAAGATGCTTTTTAAGCTCCCCAGAGTAGCCAGGTTTAGGAACCAATGACCCACACCCTAATTGTCTATGCCCACCCCCCATCTTGGCAAACCACAACTTCTCTAAGCTCAGTCCTTATTTCTAAAACCATCACCTATGATTGCTGTAATGCAGCACACAGACTTTGAAACCAGATGGCCTTGATTTGAATATTGGCTCAGTCACTTGTTAGCTGCTGATTACTTATCCTTACTGTGGTCTGTAAAATGGGAATAACAACATACATGTTTTCTAGGGAGATCTCACAGGTTAAGTGAGTTAATAAATCTAAATCATTAAGAAGAGTGTCTGGCACGTGGTAGATTCTAGTTTAAGTGCCAGATATGAAGATATTAATTAATTATTAATGGGCTCAGCCAAGGCATGGGCATAAATGAAAGGATGAGTAACTGGAGGTTGATACTGCTAATAACCGTGCTCTTTGCTTCCTTCCAGGAGCTTGGGCCTCTGCCACAGCCTGGTAGAGGCTGTGGAGGTCTACAGTCCGGAATTCCCTGTCCCGAGGTCCACACCTGGCTGTGGGGAGTGGAAGTTCCCGAGAGGTAGCGGTGGCCTGAAGCGGCCCCCTCCACACGGCGAGCCATGGGCCAGAAGCTCTCCGGGGGCCTCAAGTCGGTGGAGGTGCGGGAGCCCGCACTGCGGCCAGCCAAGCGCGAGCTGCGGGGCGCAGAGGCAGGGCGGCCAGCGCGGCTGGACCAGCTGCTGGACATGCCGGCCGCAGGCTCTGCGGTGCAGCTGCGGCACGCGTGGAACCCCGAGGACCGCTCGCTCAACGTCTTCGTCAAGGACGACGACAGGCTCACCTTCCACCGGCACCCGGTGGCACAGAGCACGGACGGCATCCGCGGCAAGGTGGGCCATGCTCGAGGCCTGCACGCCTGGCAGATTGACTGGCCGGCTCGGCAGCGCGGCACGCACGCAGTGGTGGGGGTGGCCACGGCCCGCGCCCCACTGCACTCAGTTGGCTACACCGCTCTGGTGGGCAGCGACGTGGAGTCCTGGGGCTGGGACCTGGGCCGCAGCCGCCTCTACCACGACGGCAAGAACCGGCCCGGTGTGGCCTACCCGGCCTTCCTGGGGCCCGATGAGGCCTTTGCACTGCCTGACTCGCTGCTAGTAGTGCTGGACATGGATGAGGGCACGCTCAGCTTCATCGTGGACGGCCAGTACCTGGGTGTGGCCTTCCGTGGCCTCAAGGGTAAGAAGCTGTACCCGGTGGTGAGTGCCGTCTGGGGCCACTGCGAAGTCACCATGCGCTACATCAATGGCCTTGATCGTAAGTGTGAAATGTGATGGGCTAGGAGGGCTGGGATGCAGAGGCTGCCTGTCCCTAGGGTTTGGAGAGGGAAGATACACGACAAGCAGGTGAAACAGCCGTTGGGATCATCCTCCAGCATAGAGTGGTGGTTGGAACCTGGACTTGAATTTTTACCTTCTTATAGGCTTGGTGATTTGAGGCTGTGGTTCAGTTTTCCTATCTATAGAAATGGCATGGTGATGGGACTCTAGCTCAGGACTGTCATGAGGATCAAATAGGATAATACTGTATATGTGCTCAGAGCATTGACTGGCACCTAATAAGGGCTTTGTGTGGTGATTCTCATTACAGATCTTTTAGGCTATACAAGAAAGTACAAAATGACCCAAGGTAGTCACAGCAGGAAGGTAACAGGAAGACACAGTTGCTGGGCTGAAATGCCATCCATGCTAGTTCCTGATGAGTAACAAGCTATGATCATAACAACTGTTGCTTATTGACCACTTGCTGTATTCAGGGACTGAACACTGAAATTCCAGGGCTTGCTGGCAAGCCGTTTGTTGAAGGAGGCAATAGCCTCTCGTCTCCAGCCGTCACCTCATGGGAATGAGAACTCTGGGTTGTGGAGTCTTTGGATTTTTCCAGGAGTACCCAAAAATCTAGATTATGTGAACTGTCCCAGTTTTTAAAGTGAGCAGCTGCTGAAAACTCTGTGTGGACAAGCAAAGCATCTTGGCACGTTGCAGACAAGCCCACAGGCTGCTGAGTTTGGCCCCCTGAAAACTCTGAGGTCTTATCTCATTTAATATGCACAATCATCCTATGAAGCAATTTAAAAATCAAAGTAACAAAAATGATTATTGGTTTTAGGAGGGCATCACTTGGGGATGCAGCCACTTGGCCTCCATATAGCTGCATGTCCTGTGTTGAATTCCAGCTGAGCAGAGCCAGAAGTCAGGCACTAACCATGGGCTTGCTCAGTTCCACACACCAGCCCACCAGCATCTGCCCAAACTGACTTCCTGCCACACGCCTCCCAAAACTGGGGACAGCACTTACCACCAGTGCACCAATTTATTCATTTTATTTTAAGTGAGAGATATAAAGCTGACAGTGAGGGAGCTCTCAGACCCCTTTTGAGAGATGAGGAAATCAAGAGCAGAGTCACAGAGTCAACATCAGGGTCCACCTCAAATCTGTTGGCCTTGGAAACTAACTCCTTTCCCATGTTTCTCCTTTGGTTGAGCAACTGATAGTAATACTCCAGAAAAGAACTCAGGGAAAAGCACTAACTCATGTGAAATTTTTATTTGTTTGAGCAAAGGGTGGACTGGTGGTTTTCAGGAATGGCAGGCAACAGAAAAGTAATGGGCATGCTCAGCTAGTTCCTGGGTATAATTGGTATCATTCTCGCTTGTATTTTATTTTTGTAGTTGCCGAACTAAGATTGTTGTTGACAGCAAGTGTTGCCTCATTTTCTCTGTGTAACTGGTTAAATCTTGCAGTGGATGAAAATGTCCTGATTTAGTCGTCACAGTGTCTGATGGAAAGAGCCTGAAATGCTCTTAGACATGGTGACCAGGCAAACCCCAGTGGTAAGAAAACACAACAAACACTATTTAATGGAACTGGAAAGTTTACTTAAAATTAATCACTGGACCAAAAGGGTGACCTTAGCATAACAAGGCTGTGGAGTCTGATGAGCCTTATTTCCAACTGTGTCTCCAACACTGAGTGGTTTTGTGTCTTTGGTGAATCACTTTAACACCATGAGACTTAGTTTACGAATCTATAAGATAGGACAGTTTTGAGTCCCTTTCTTAGCTGTGGTGTTATCTTGTATGTTGGCACCAATAATATGATAGCCAGGATTAAAGGCCTGACATTGACCCTACAGGGAGCTAGCAAGGCCAACAGTTAGGCCCCCAAAGTAGGCTTCCTCTTAGATATGAATTCATATCAGTTACTTGATTTTAAGGTACAATACTAAGGTTCTAAGAAGGTTGCAGCCATGGCTCTCTCATGAATGTTAGAGTCAGGAACACCTCTTCCCTGATGCACTGCTCAAGCAGGTAGGGGACAGAAAGGACAATTGTGTTCTGGACATCTTGTGCTCATGGGTCTTTCAGGTGATTGAAGAAATATGGTGGGACTGAAACTTGGAGTGTTTCATCTTCCTCTCCATTGTGTGATTTTTCAGTTAGGCAAGGGAGGGGCAGGAAGGATATTGTGTGATGCAAGTCCGAGACATCTTCCATTTGATAACAACATCAGCTTGTCTGGTATGCTCTAGTCTATACTCCAGATGGGAGTAACAGCGACTGTGTGGGCAGAGGTGTGAGTGCTCAGTTTGGCACAAGCCTTGACTACAGGATAGACTATAGGAAAGACTGCCAGGGAGTTCAGGATTGGGGTGGTGACTAGGAAGGGACTGGGTAATACCTATAGTGGGTGACACCATGGATTCCTGGGGATTGGGAACAGTTTGGCCCTGGGGAATCCCTGGGCAAGGAAGGTGATTCAAGGTGGAGATCTGAAGATGGAAAGAGTTCTCAGCCAACATTAGTTGTAGATATGGTGGAAAATTCCCAGACCCAGACTCAAATAGGGTACAGGAGATCAGAGTCAGACATGCTCATTCAAAAAGACAGGGCTATTCCCTGAGATTGCTTCTCCAAAAGATCATGGTGGGAGGGTGTTCTGTGAAAGGACCCACACAGACTGACAGACCCGGATTAGGCTCTCACCACAGTACTCAGCAGGAGGCCCTGGGCAATTCTTACTCCTCTCTCTTCACCTCAGTATTCTTTGCAAAATGGGGATAATAAAGCTCACCACCACAGAGCAGACACATACCAAACAGAGCTCTTTGGTTGGATGAACTAGGTGACGTGGGGCAGATTCTGAGATTCACCTATGGAATAAAAAAAAGTGGTTTTCACAGGGGCTTTTCCTCTAGTGTGACTGAAGTAAGTTAATGGATATCACTTTTTCAATATCTGAATTTTTAGGACTATAAAAGCATGGCTTAGAAAAGTGTTACCACACTGAACTCTGAAGCATATGTTTGTTGAGAACAAGAGCTCCTGACAGTGCAATTTACTATTGCAATTACATAAAGTTGACGAACCTTTGCAAGTGAAATTGTTCTTTCTCCATACCGTGTAGTGAAATGGCTCAGAATATGGGACTTTACTGCAAAGAGGTGCAGATCCAAGGGCTCTGCCCTCTTAGATAAGCTGAGAGGCATAGAAGCAAGTCCAGGCAAATGGATAAGCTGACTCAAATTATCCAGGGCCCAAATAATAATAATAGCAATAACAATGATACTAGTTAGCACTTATGTAGTGCTTAATCTTTCTGGTTTCTATTCTAGACACATTACAAATTTTAACTCATTTGATACTTGTAACAACCCTTTGAGCTAATACCTGTATTATAATCTTCAGTTTACTATGAAGAAATCGAGGCACAGAGAGCTTGAGTAAGTTGCTCAAGGTTACACAGCCAGTAACTGGAACTGGCCTAGTGGGGAATTCATGGAGACATTCACAGACCAGGCAGGGATAGAAGGACCAGGAGAGTCCACTCCACCTGGCTGTGTGGCAGTGCAGCAGAGGGCCAACGAGGGCCAACCCGGACCTTCCACAGCGAAGTGGATGAGGCCCTGACATGCTGTCTCTGTTGTTTTTCTTCCTCCCACTGCTTCATCTCCAGCCCTCAAAGCCCCTGGCTTACCACAGAGCTCTGTGGGGTGCTCTGAAAAGCTAAATTGTACAAAGTCAGGCCCAGCTGTGGCTGTGAATCAGGCATGCTTGATCACTAATAAGGGAATGTCTCTGAAAATGTCCCAACTGCTGTGAGGTTCGGCCCCCGGGGTGGGGTGGGGTGGGGTTAGGGCAGTGTGCAGGCCTTTGGAATCTGCTAGGCTGGTTTCCAGAATTTTGTCCTGTCTCCTCTTTCCACATGTTGGTGGCCCCGAGGGCCGATAGAAGGGCTTTGTCTCATGTCTTGAGTTCTTGGGTGGTAAATGCTGTGTGAGTGATAGCAGAAGAGAAGAGGCCAGACAAAGGGCCCTGGGGTCCCGAGCAGGGTAATATAGGAGAGTTAATAATCACATTTTTTGTCAGATACCACCCATGTTCTGTGCCCTGGGCTGTTTTACTCATTTTTTTTTTTTTTAACTTTTTAGTGTCAAGTTTTTGAGGCACTATTACTGTTACTATTCCAATTTTGTAGATGAGGAAACTGAGTCTTGGAAAGGTGGAATATTTGCCCAAGGCCACACAGTTAGCAAGCAGTGAGTCTGTGCTGAGGTCCAGGTAGACCCACTCCCCTGCCCAGCCTCCACAGGCTCTGTGCCAGCCTCTGAGGCCCGGCCTGCCCTGCCCCGTCTGCTCAAGCATAGCTGGACACCTCAGAGGGCCTGTCAGCATTCAGGATTGGCTTCTGGGCTGTGAGTGGAAATGCAGGTATCTTGGAACTGACCAACTGACTGAGAAGGCCTGTCCATCTGCATCAAGCAGAGGAAGCTGCATTTCCAGACATCGTTCCTAGATGGTTTAATCGATCTGCCAACAAGTATTTATTGGCATAATAGCACAGTAGAGGAGACTGGCAGCCAGCCAAGGCTTCTGGTGTTGATGAAGGCCAGAGTGAGTTTTCTACCAGGACACTGCAAGGACACCACTCCCTTGTCAGAGCACTCCTCCTGCTCAGCAGTGAACCCACCACCTTCCTGCTCCATGTCTATGCACTTTAATGAGATGGCCATGTCCTTCCACCTCCTGACATCTGGACTGGCTCCTCCACCAAGGTCCGTGCCTGGTGTCCTCTTTATCCCTTCCCCTGGTGCCATGTCCTGACCCCAGCTCACTCTCAGCACTGTCTTTGTAGCATCAGCTCAGCACTGAGTCTGCTCTGCCCGTGCTCCCATTCACTCATTCCATGTAGGTTGTCCTTTTTCCTCAAGTGAGAGGAAGTCCTCAGGCAGGGATGGGGAGCAGGAATCATATATG